ATCTTTCTTCTATCATTGACAGTCCCTCTAGGTTGTGGGCTGCTTGCCTGTGTTCCTGAGAAGCATCTACGGTACCAGTCTATAGAGTGTGTTTTCTTTAGTGAATTACCGGTATGTTTACCGGTAATAAACTTGCACTGTTTTATGTATATGTTTGATTACATACAGCCTTGTGACAGTTTTCCTGCATGTCATAAGCATTTGAATATAAATTAAAATGTTAAAATCAAATCTGATATTGTTTTACCTTTTATTTGGTGTGTGGAAGGTGTGCGGAAGAGGGGGTAGTCTTATACGGCGAGTATATAACAAACTCTGTATTTTGAGTGGAAATGTTAGGGGGTCGTCTTATACGCCCAGTCATCTTATACGCCGGCAAATACGGTATATACAGTACTAGAGGCCTGGTGCATAAAATTCTTGTCCTCAGGGGGTCCCTCAGCCTGGCCTGCACCCTCTCACAATCCGGGAGTCCTGGGGGAGTGGGCCTAAGCTGGCAGTTGGACATCCTTAGCGCCACCGTCACTGCACTTAGCGCTCCCACCACTGCCACTGTGCTCGTCAGCCATGAACCTGGCTTCTGGTTAAGCAGTGCTCCCCCTGTGGGAGCACACTGACCACCGGGGACAGCTCCTGCATTGAGCGTCTTCCCCCTGATGGTTAGTGCGACCAGCAGTGAGCCAGGCTTCTGGCTGAGCAATGCTCCCTCTGTGGGAGAGCACTGATCACCAAGGGGTAGCTCCTGCTAGTGCGCGTCATAGCTACCGTTGTTCCACCGTTTGGTCGATTTGCATATTAGCCTTTTATTATATAGGATGCCCCGCTGATGTGGCTCAGTGGTTGAGCATTGACCCATGAACCAAGAGGTTACTGGTTTGATTCCTGATCAGGGCACATGCCCAGGTTGTGGGCTCAATCCCCAGGAGGGGGCATGCAGGAGGTAACCGCTGGATGATGTTTCTCTTTCATCATTGATGTTTCTATCTCTCTATCCCTCCCGCTTCTTCTCTCTCTAAAAAAATCAATAAAAACATATTTTAAAAAAATAATAAAATTTTTATTGAAAAGATGGTTAAGAACCACCACCAGCCCCCACACTATTTATATTTCTTCTTTCTTTTGGGTCAACATTTTCTGGTTCTGGCCACCACTTATTGCTCTAAGTGTTCTCTTTGAATCCTCTTATTTTTCTATATTGAAAAGAAAAAAATTATTTATTGATGAGAAACAGAAAGAAATGTCCATTTTTTGTTACAAGTGCTTATATTTATGCATTCAATGGTTGATTCTTTTAAAAAATATATTTTTATTGATTTCAGAGAGGAAGGGAGAGGGCAAGAGAGAGATAGAAACATCAATGATGAGAGAGAGTCATTGATTGCCTGCCTCCTGCATGCCCCCTACTGGGGATTGAGCCTGCAACCCGGGCATGTGCTCTTACAGGGAATTGAACCATTACTTCCTACTTCATAGGTCAATATCCAACCACTGAGCCATGTCGGGCTAATGGTTGATTCTTATATGTGCTCTGAGAGGGGGGTCAAACCCATACCTTGGTGATTCAGGACTATGCTCTAACCAACTGAGTACCTGGCCAGGGTTTAGTCTTATTCTAATTTTAGTTTCAATACTATTGATATGCTGAAATCATCCAAATTTAGATCTCCAACTCAAACTTTTCTCCCAAGTTTACCAATGTCTACAACAGCCTATTAGATAGTTCTCTCTGAATATATGCTAAGCATCCCCAAATCAACATGCTCAGAACTAAATTCATAATTTCCCCACAATCTCTCCTCCTTTTGTGTGCTCAGTTAATGTCATTATCTACTGGGTCAGCAAAACTAGTCACCACAGTCATTCTTCGTGACCTGAATCCTTCACTTCCCACACGCATTGTTGACTGCATGATGCCAGAAGTCCCCATTTCTTCATTGGTCACAACAGCCTGTCCAACCTGCCCCTATAGAGCTCTCAGTTCTGTGTTCTCCTTTCATTCTTGCTGCCTTTGTTTTACTTTAGATCCTCATCAGCTTTTGATTTTCATTAGCTTCCTAACTGGGCTCTTTTAAAAAATATGTATATATTTATTGATTTCAGAGAGGAAGGGAGGAGAGAGAGATAGAAAAATCAATGATGAGAGAAAATAACTGATCAGCTGCCTTCTGCACGCTCCCATACTACGGATCAAGCCCACAACTTGGGCATGTGCCCTAACCAGGAATTGAACCATGACGTCTTGATGCATAGGTTGATGCTCAATCACTGAACCACTCCAGCCAGGCTCCTAACTGGGCTCTTTATCTTCAGTTCATTCTCTCCACTAATTAGAATTACCTTTCTAAAATCCAATGTAATTATGTTATTCATATTTAACAGCCTTTGCTATCTCTTGACTGACATCAAGATAAAGGTTAAAATATTTAGCAGGAAGACAAGGCCTATTACCATCTGCCATTTACCTAATTTTCCAGCTCAAATCCTATTCCTCTCAACCCGGAGAAATGCTTGCCAGTCCCATACATCTATATTACTCGCAAATTTTGTTCCTGTGAAATGTTTTCTTACACACGCTCCTTCACAGGCTGGAAAATTGTTACAAATCATTAAAACCCAGCTGGTAGTCATTTCTTCTGTGTGGGCTTTAAAAATAGTAATCTTATTTGTTGTATATTCCAGAGGTTCTCAACTCTAACTGCTCATCCTATCACCTGGGAGAGGAGGGCTTTAAACAATGTCAATGCCCAGCCTCTGCCCCCAGAAATTCAGACTGCATTATCGAGAATGAATCTAAGCATAGGAATCAGTTAGGTCTTCCTCTAGAGCAGCGGTTCTCAACCTGTGGGTCGTGACCCCTTTGGCGGTCGAACGACCCTTTCACAGGGGTCGCCTAAGACCATCCTGCATATCCAATGTTTACATTATGGTTCATAACAGTAGCAACATTACAGTTATGAAGTAGCAACGAAAATAATTTTATGGTTGGGTCACAATGTGAGGAACTGTATTTAAGGGGCCAGAAGGTTGAGAACCACTGCTCTAGAGTTTTCTAATGTGTGAGTTACTAAAGATACAAAAATTAAAAAGACAGTGTGGAGTTTCTGACTTCAAGAAGTTTTCAGTAGAGGAAACAAGTAAAATTAATCATCATTTACAAATAGAAAGAAGTGTATTAAAGTGAAAGGATGTGCATGTAGAACAAATAGAGGAGGCAGGAAGAAAAGGCATGCCAGGAAAGGCCCCCAGTGATGCCTACTATAAGCCAACCAAATATTTGGTAAAACTTTTTATTAGCTTGTAGAATCCTGCTAAACTGTGAACCATAGTTTAAAGCAACCTATCTGTAATTTAATCACTGTACACAATACAACAGAGGAGCTGTTTTATAATCAATAACCATTATACCTTTAATTCCCAGAACAATACCTGGCACAAAGTACTACTAAAAAATGCTTGTTAAATAAATTAATGGTCTGGAATATTATGCAGCAGTGAAAAAGAAGGATCTCTTACCTTTTGAGATAGCAGGGAGGGACCTGGAGAGTATCATGCTGAGTGAAATAACCCAGTCAGAGAAAGACAAGTATCACATGATCTCACTCATATGTGAAATCTAATGAACAAAATAAACTAATCAACAAAATAGATCCAGAGACCTGAGGTGGGGTTGGGGGCAGGCTAGAAGGAGTCAATGGGGGGAAAAGGAGGGCATATGTAATACTTTCAACAATAAATATTAAAAAAATAAATTAATGGTCAGCAGTATCATTTAAAACTTTTCTTAAGAAACAAATTTATAATTAATATCAATGTTGCAAATTAAAACTAAGCATCATGTGTTTGGTGTCAAAGATTTTGACAGAGCATGTATATGTGTTCTACTGTTTGGATGAGATAGGTAATTCTAAATTTAGCTGAGAAAACCAAAAGTACTGATAGAGCAGTTCACTTTCAGTAATCTGGGTTTTCCCAAACAGTGACATGAGAGCCAGTCATTTTGAATTGGGCAGTTTGAGTTCCTCTTCAAGAATCTGAAATGTAGGTCAGGGCTTTGCTGACATTTCCACTTGCTTCATAGCTGAGAAGTTGAAATGATCACTGACAGGCAGGCGGTGGGGAAAGGAGTCGTGAGGCTGGCCTGGCTCTGAAGTGGAATTATGTGCTTCAAATGGACAGAAAGGTAAAGAGAAAATGAGCATCCAAAATACTTAAAAACAGCTATGTTTCCTGTGAGAAATACATGGGCAAAGTTATTTTCTCTTATAAGTTCTGTGGCATTTTATACAGTGAATGATGCGGATGATAGTTGAATTTATAATATTGTCTGACATCACATCACCTTAGTATTTATTGTGCATAGTCTAGTAGGTGAGTAGTTAATTTCTGAAATATTTTAGGGCTTGTTTTCACTATTATTTATAAAGATGACACCTACTATTGTTAACAACTTATGAAAGGGATCCCTATTTCATGAGTCATGAGAACCCCAGTTTTTAAAAATGTTATCAGATAGTTTATGCTATTTGATGAGTTATGAACTTTGTTTTGTTGTTGTATATTAAAGGCTCAAGGTTTAACTAAACAAATAAAAAAAGTGAATGATGTTGATTATTGAATAACTGAATTATTAATAATGTAAGAAACTGATTACCTGAGTAATGTAACTCCAGTGATAAACTCATGGCAATTTCTATATTATGCTTCTTTTGAGCTCTCCAGAGATGAGTGAGCTTTCTGTAAATTTAACTGGTGACAACACATATGCATTTGTCTCACTTCATCTTTCTTCATTTTAAATGCCTTTTTTCTGGAGATTATGAAATTTTTGGTTTTTCCTAAGTTTTACTCATCAAATACTGATATTCTTGGAGCTTGATAGATGCATAACCTGGTCAGGAGAAAAGTTCATCATCAGGATTTAGAGCAGAAGGAGATTTATGAAGAGAGAGACCAGATAAGAGGAACCGGATTATATCCAGGGTCCAAAGGTCCTACTGAGCTAATTCATAGTTATTTCTGAAGGGTGTTAAATGGCATTCTTTTGCTTTACTCCATATTATACCTCTTCACACACTAGTGACTTTTTACCATTTCCTTCCTTTCTTTCTTCCATCCCTCCGTTCTCCATCTCTCCTTTCTTCCTTAGCAGAGGTTCTCATCAAAGATAATAATAATTGCTAGGAAAAAATGTGATGCCTTTTATTCTTTTATTAAAATATTAAAATTTAAACTTCTTTGTATTTTTCTCTAGAGGCGAACAAAGAGCTTTCCCCTGCTCTCAGACATGAATCAGGTCACATTTCAGTGGGATGTGGTAATAGCCCTTTACATATTCTTCAACTGGTGTCATGGAGGTATAGTATTTTGAATACCTATTGTTATCTTTTATTCAAATAAAGTATTGAATGTCTAATATTTTCAAGGTATCATGTATGGTAGGATTTCGGAAGAACCAAGTTATTATATTGAGAAAATTTATATGAGCATAAGAATTATGTGGAATGAAATAAAAAAGACTCCCTCCTTCCTAAGGCAGGATTCCTTTCTCAAGTACGTATCCCTAACGGAACCACCTTTAACTCCTATATAAACATTTCTGATAAGGAGCTTGTTACTTTGAGTTGGCATGTTCTATCTCTGAACTATTATAACTGCTCTATGAAAATCCATCAAACATTTTGAATTTAGTTCAATTCCACAGACCATTTGTTGAGGGTTATTCTGTGTCGGGCACACTGTGCTAAGCTTTTTATCCCTCACAACAACAACTCTGTGCAGCAGTACTGAGTGCTATTATTATTCCCTTCCTACAGTCCACGCACACGTCTGGCACTAGGACAGACTTAAGCAGTTTGGAGGAATCCAGGAAGGGGATCCTCGGAAGTTCAGACAGGACAGCCATTTGCATTCAGGAGTTTCTATTGGAGGCAATGGTATCCTGGGGATGCATGGCAAGGACTCATTTACTGGGTGACAAAGCAGCACCAAGGCAGGGTTCTAGGCCTTGAAGAAAACTTTCTAGATGGTGCAAGT